AAAACACCCTAAGTGCAATTAAAAAAAATATATATATTTATACCAAAAACAAAACCCAATTTCCCAGTTTTTTTACGTTTTTTTTTTCACCCCTGAGAGCTTGAGAGGTGGCAGGAAAGGGTATGAAAACAAACACAGACAGAAGCTTATAGTTCACTGAAATATCTTAATGACTCTTCTCTACCATCCCTACAGCGTGTTCCACCTCTCTGCTGCCCATCTGTATGCACAGTATGTTTAAACAGTTCCTGTTTGCCAAAATACAGCTCCATGAAGCGCTGAATTTTCAATGGATGTAGCCTTTTAGCCATATGTTGGCAAAATGATGAATGTTTGGAAAACACTCCGCATATGTGTGGACAGCAGAGAAGTGGATTATCCTGCACATGAGGTTTGGGGGTGGGAAGGGTTTTCTTACAGTTACACTTTACAAAACATCCAAAGCAAACTTACTACTTCAATTTACAACTATGCAGATTAAAATATTCAGTTCATGTAAATGAGCAGTCTTGGTTAAAGCAGTGAAAACAAAGACAAACAGAGGTGGAAAGGGAGAAGGACACATTGAGGGGTAGTGTTGAAATGATCAACAAAGATAAGGATGCTCAACTGTTGAGGCACAGAATTGCAACAGAAGCTATTTGAGATTAAAAAGAAATTTCCAAAGGCGAGAATAAGAAAATATAAATCATGAAGTTGTAGACATGAAGTTGTATTACACCCAAATTTCCCCTTGTAGGACAATTAAAGGATTATTCTATTCTATTCTGTTGACTTAAAAAGTACAACTTGACATAATATGCCATTTCCCAGCAGCTTACTGAGAAAGGGTTACATGAGCAGGAAAAGAATTTTACAAAAGAGGATATTTCTCGCAACAAAAGGGGAAACACAGGCTTGCAGCCATGATATAACAAAAAGGTACATCCAGTGGACATATGCAATTAAACTGAAAGTAACCGAAGGCCAACATGCAAACACCAGGAGCAACGTATGCCTCCCTCCCATCCTCCTCCTTAATTCACTCACCATCCATTCCTTTCTGACACATACCTTTACCCACATTCCCAAAGTTAGTGCTTGTCTTGACTTCAGTCAACTGTTCTGGCCTCTTCATGCCTCCAACACGTTTTCAGTATCCACACCTCCTCTCAGGTTGCACACTCAACTGCTTTGTGCAAGAAAGACATACTTCCTGTCTATGCTTTGCTTATGACCGCACCCCTGACGTGCTACGTTTCTTCAACAGCCCTCTTCCTTATATTTGTTCACATCTTCCTTTTGTTATCACTGCCTGGTCTCAGCCTAATCATCTTCCCGTTCCTCATCCCCTGCCTGCAACTGACCCTGCTAAAACTCGTTCACTGTACTTGCTTAATGCAGTCCTATGACTACAAATTCCCACCACTGACTTGTTTTTTAACCCGCTATTGCAGTTTTTGCTCACTCATTGGCTTCCTTCTTCTCTCCTCATACTGACCTTTCTTCAGGAGTCAAGTGACCCTTTGGCATTCTCTCTTACACTTAGTCTCAGAAGCACCTTTTTCCCAAACCAGATCAGAGCCCTTTCCCTTAGATTCTGAGCTAATTTAAGGTCACTTTCCCCTATTCCAAGGATCCTCTCTTGCTGACCAAAGTGACTGCTTTGTTGTTTATTTGGAGTGACAGAATAGCAGGGAACCCCTGCTACTTGGTCAATCCAAGTGAAAGAGTTTCTCTTCAAACTAGAGGGGGTTGCCTGGGCGACAAGACAAAGGAAAGCAAAAAAACAGAGTGCATGTTTCCACTTCTGTTACAGACAGAAGGATGGAGAGGACAGGAGTGGAGTGGAGGGGTAGAGGTAGAGTGGCAGGATTGTCCGCCTCTCTGCTGCTTTGGGCAATCCATTAAAACGATCCCTCCATTAGACAAATGTGAAGGAGGAAGCCAAAGAAAATGGACCGGAGGGGTACAGAAAGGGTTGACTGATTCAGACGGGAGGGAGAAGTGAATGTGAGTAACAGGACAGACTGTGACAGAGGTGGGTCGCAATCAGGGTAAGATATCAGCTGCTACAAAGGATGTTTTTATCAACTCGGACCAATTGGCAGCAGTCTTAAACATTTTGAGAGCTTTTCTGTGCTTCTCTTTTGCAACCTCAAGTCTTAGTTTTGCAGACATCAGCTCTCTTAAGTCTGAAAACATAATGATTTCCTAAAAAGTCACGTGAACTTTATGACAGATAAAAAAAAAAAGAGGAAAATACCCTTTGCACTATGTACAATATGAAACAAGTATGAAAGAACAACACACAAAGAGGAAAATGGGAGCAAAATAATTACAACGGGGGACTAGGAGAGTAGAGGAGATGAGTGGAGAAAAGGGGAAAGGAGAGGAGAGTAGGGAGGGGACTGAAGAGTACAGGATATCATTATCTTTCATGTCCAACGCAGGTGACTAGCAGTGGAAGAATGGATTAAGTATCCCTCCTCTCTCCCAGCAAGCAAATCCCATTCTGAGAATGGAAAGAGGGTTTAATAAGAGGTGTGTAGTGGTGGGAAAGGTCCAGCTAGCCAGCTGCTTTACTCTTGTAGGAGTACGTTTAACTATAAAAGTACACCCCCACCCCACCCCCTGCTTCCTGCAGTTAACAATGTAAACAGCACTCAATTAAAAATACATAGAAATAAAACAATAACTTACATTATATTTAAACTGCAGTATCTACTAAATGAAAGAAACGTTTATATGTGTGCATTTGTTCTACTGTTAGACTCATCATCTACCTACACAAATGCAGAAGAGAGTAAAGTACAAACACAAATGTGTACATCCAACTGTAGCCTTTCTGAGTATCTGTTCTTTTGTGGGTGTCAGGTTGTGTTGAAATTTGTCTGAACAACAAGTTGGTAAATTTATAGAATTTCTACCCAGGTCCTCCTCCTCTAAATCAAAATCAATTTGAATGGAAATACAATAAAGTCATTCCATTCATTGATTTGAGCTATCCATTTCACAGCGAAGCTACTATGATCGAGTACAGGCAGCAAGTCTCAGTGGGTCGATAAACACTGAAGATAACTAGAAGCAGTTTGGTGAGACACTGTGACTTGGCAAACTAGTCTATATTTTTATTCTTATTCCTATTAATTTGTCTTGGTTCTTCGTTCCCTCCTAAGAACAACATACAGAGACACAACTTTATTTCCTTGGAACTCAACACAAAGGTATACAAGTAACACACACACTGCTTCGACAACCTAATGACTGAGTGTTCAAAAGAGGCCTCTCTTTGTTTATGTGGGTTCAGCTGTGTTCTTGCTCTCAGTCTTCCAAACAGGTAAATCCAGTCTCTCTAAAGACCTGCTCAGTTTTTTGTGTACACAGATATGCAAACACCTACTGTTTAAAATGTGACAGGTTTTTGTTTTGTTTTTTTAAGCCATCATCATCTTCATCCTTATTACTCTTATATATGCAACTTAAGCCATGGACTTCAATAGTTTCATTTCACTGTGTATCTCGATGGTGTACCCAAGTGAGGACGTATTTCGAAGAGGTGAGCAGAAGTAAGTACCTCCACACACAAAAAAAAAAAAACTAGGCCGTCTGTCATATATGAGTTGCTTAGTGAGAGAAATGACTGCAGTCTTAGACATATCCCAAGAGGTAGAATCGGTATGACTAATTTGTCTGCTGTAATGAGACCAAACCTAAACCCTGCTTTTCCCAGAGTCCTTACATTTTAATGTCAATGACTCAAACTAATTTGCAAAATAAAAAAATTTATAAAACAAAAGTTCCACTACATAATGTCACTGTATAAAAAGGGGATTTTGTTTTAGAATGTTACAATGTTTCTTTAAAATAATAATAATAATAATAAAAACTAGTAAAATGTTTCCACAACACCCGTGGATACTACCAACTGCAGAAGCATTTTCAAACCTGCGAAGCCAGTTAGGTGTGCTATTAGCTTTAGTGAAAGGAAAACTTTCCCATAGCCTCAGTGAATGTGAAACTCTAGCTGTGCTGCTTCTATGTTATGAAGTTCACAACACTGCACTCACTGTGTTGTGTGAGAGTGCCCTCACATGTATTTAACACCCAACACCAGTCCGCACATACTCTAACCAAGTTTGCTTTGCAATGGAGCAAAAACGTCACAGCAGAGGTTACCCAGGTAGCTGTGAATAAAAAAAAAATTAAAAAGAAAAGAACATTTGAAACGGAAAACAACCTCAGACGGAAACCAAATATCTGTTAAAACAGAGGCCATGGCTAAGATTGTTTACCACTTTGGTCAGCTGATTCTCCGTCATAAGCACTTTTGTGTATGTGCATTTACAACAGTAAATGCTGACTAAATATTGATCTATTCAATATCATAATATATGAGTAATATATGAGGATATTTTAACTCTTGTTCACAACTTCACACTACAGTCCAACAAGTTGGGTTATCTAGCTACAATTTTCGCTCCAAGAAGCTTTGAAAAAGAACAGTTTAGTTTAGTCAAAGGTTTTGCCTGTACACATTATAAGGCTTGTTACCTAGCTACATCAATATTTGTGTAATTGACTAAAAGTAGACATGCCACAGTGCCTAAAGAAATGCACTCTGGTTAACTAACTATGCACAGCAGTTCAACTGGCTTGAGGCTACCCCAGTCCACAGCACAGGCTGCTGTTTTTCATTTGCCTACTGTATGTGCTAACTGTGTATCACATCCACACTATAGCTAAGTGGCAAGAGCATAAAACACCCCATCTAATTAAAATACATCAAATGTGTTCACACATGCACAGACACTACAGTCATGCCAAGCCCAGGGCAGTCCCCTCCCTCTCTCTGTTAGCTTCTAAAGAAAGGTATTAGAACACCTCCGCTTATGTCCCTTCAACTCGCATACAGTGTGAAATTAAAAGTCTGAGTGGAGGTGTGACTCGCCTTTCTTTCTTGTTCTAAATCTACACAACCACATACACGTCCAGTGACCATGACAAGTGGAGACGTTTACCTGCTGATGGGATGCGGTGCGCTCCGGGAACAGAAGACAGCCTCTGAATGCCGGGAGAGGCGTTACTTCCTGGGGCTCGCTGCTGGTTCTCCGAGTGGATACTGTGAGTTCCAAGTGGTGCGCAAGCGGCACCGTTCTGCTGCTGTGGATGTAGTTGCTGCTGCTGATGGTGGTGGTGGTGGAGATGGTGGTGGTGGTTAGATACCATAACTGCGCTGCCGGTCATTCCATTGCCATTTCCAACACCGCACGACTGATAATATCCAGACCGTGAGCGAGATCGAGTCCTTGGAGGTTCCATGGTCATTTGGTGGGGGTGAAGGGGGTGGAAAAGAAAAGAGGAGGACGCTTCTGGGGACTGCGGCGGAGAGCCGTTGGTAGATCCGGGCTGTACAAAGCCCCTCGCGCCGCTCTGGCTGTAACTATAGCCCCCGAGTCCTCTGCCCCCCTCCGCGCCCCCGTACTCTATTCGCTCCGCAGACTCTGTCGCCCCCGCCTCGTCGAATAAATCAGCCCCTTTAGGGACAGGCTCCGGGGTGGAGGGCAGCCGGGGGCAAACTCGAGGCTCCTGAGTCGTTGGCTGTCCAGCGGCTGCGATTGGCATTTCCTTTCGGGGGATTTCCTTCGTTTCTTTTCCTTTTTTGTTCCCTGCGTTTTCCTCTCGTTCCCCTCACCGAAGCAGCTTTTACACACTGTTAAAATGACAAATTAAATGAGTTAGGAAGAGTTAAATCGAGTTGTGAGGTACTCTGTTAACACTGTACATCACAACATTCACCAAGCTGGACTACCTACACAAACAAGTCAAAGCCATCAGTTTCTTTTGACATGCACGTGTGTTGTAATTTTGAGTTAACTCGTAGTTTGGTACTAAAACTTTGCTATTTCATAAACTGGTTCATCGGCTTACATTGTGAATATTGTGAATATTTAAGTTTTCACTCAATTATACTGTTTGGGAATTAAAAAAAAAAACAATCTACATGAATGTGACAGGGATACGATTCCTCTCCCGGCTCACCAGCAGCTTTAACTTCACAACAGCAACGACCACGGCTCGCTAGCTGACGGGAAGCTAGCGTTTGGGGGCGATGCTAACATTAGTGCGCATAGCACGCTGTGGTAAAGGCGTTATGATGCTTCTTCTAACTATATAACTACAGTGTTACCACACCAGCTCGCTTTCTCGGAATCCCAATTATCCTCGAACCGACTTTAAAACAACTTTCGCCACTTTAACCCACATTTAAACTTGTTTAGCCAGTCTGCGTAATGTCGTTCGCTAGCTTGTCAAGCCATACCAACCCCTCCTCCTCTACCCACCAACACAGAGAAAAATCCCATAGCTAGCCACCCACGCCTCGAAGCGCTTTAAAATATTTGGTTAATAGTAAGAAAACAAAACGGTGTTGTGTATAAACTTATTCGGGTGGTTTCGCTGCGTTGGGATGAGCCGGTAGAGCTTTCCCGGTTGTAAGGAAGCAAACAGCAAAGCGCAGAGAGAAACATTAAAAGTGGCCGGTCTAAAATTACAAAGAAAGAACCACGGCTAAAATTAACAGGATCTTAAGGAATGACCCCGCCTCTGTGTCTAACGCTGAAACCGGGTCTATTTCCCCTGCTCTGAGTATTTTTTTTAACAACTTACCTTCAACGCGCTCTCCCCGACTGTACTCCCAACTCGGATCTGTCGATAATATTGCGAGCCCTGTCTGTGAGAGTGTATGAACGCGAGTGTGTGAGCCCAGTGTTCGCTCGGTGTCAGCGTGAAATGTGACAGACCGTCAACGCTCAAGTCGGATTTCACCAGACCGGATCAATCGACGACAGAAAACAGAGTGCATTTGTAGTTGCTTCCCCCAGACACAATGCTGGTTAAGACACCGATGGCAAAAAACACAGACAAATGACTAAAACTGTTAATGTTAGTTTGTTTTTATAAATATAATTTTAAAATCCGGACTTTACCGGTGAAACGAACCGATTTAAGCTCGGCAATCTATTAGTAGGGCTGATAAATCAGAAGCCGTGGATAGCAGAGAGGCAGACTAAAAGGGGCTTTAAATTATTTATTTACAAATACCAAGCCTACCCATTGCAGCTGTTTCCTTTGGAGTCGAAAGTTCGCTTTAAAAATAAGTATTTGCTGTGTTTGCAGAAGTTACTTGAGCTACAAAATTACAGTAGCGAGAAAAAAATAACTAGAACGTTATTAAATAGTGACAAACATAGAAAAATGGGGGAGGAGGGCCGATTATTCAGCCGTAATCTAAAATAAATTAGGCCACTAGGATAAATGAAGTGCCTGTGTTTATCAGATCTGGGCCAAAGTTTTCACGTTTAAAAGGGGTTTTTGCATGTTTTCTCATAAGCTGGAGAAAAATGTGATTGAATGTTAAAACAAACAAACAAACAAACAGCTGCAGAAGCTTGAGACCATTATACCCTTTTTTTGGAAAATGTTCAATGGTGCCGTGTCAAAGGTCAAGAACATGCCCTGTTTGAAATATTTATGAAAACTACTGTTACTGTGTGTGTGTGTTTTTTTTTT